TGGTTGTAATATTATCCCATCCAACAGATTCGGTCAAAGATTTGGTTGAAATTTTAGCACAGTATGGACAGGTCTCTGGTTTTAAGGTAAATAAGAATAAAACTAAAATATTATTGAAAAATATGTCTAGGAAGGGAAAAGATTTTATAGCTGAAACAACCGGTTATGAAATAGTTAATAAGGTTAAGTATTTAGGAGTTTATATTACAACATCTAATAGAAAATTGTATAAGAATAATTATGAGCACTTATGGGTTAAAGTTCAAAAAGATTTAAATGATTGGCAAAAGCTACAACTATCGTTATTGGGGAGAATTTCAGTAGTGAAGATGAATGTTCTACCAAAGTTTCTTTTTTGTTTCAGATGATACCCATTTTAAAGAAGGATGCTAATTTGGATGAGTGGCACAAGGGTATTAATAAATTTATTTGGGGCGGGAAGAAATCAAGGGTAAAGTTTAAGATTTTACAAGATGCTCGAGAAAGAGGTGGACTTAAAGCACCAAACTTGAAATTATATTATGATGTGGCCACTTTAACTTTAGTAAGTGACTGGCTCAATTTAACAAATAGAGATATTCTTGTTCTTGAAGGGTGGGATTTATTACATGGTTGGCATGCATATTTAATTTTTGATAAGAAAGTAGATTTGGTCTTTAAGTCACATATTTTAAGATATGCTTTACTCCGAGTTTGGAAAAAATATTATTATAAGTTAAATTATAAAATACCTATTTGGGGGATCCAGGGGGTTTCCAAGGGGGTGAATTTTGATAACATTTCGTATAAAGAGTTACTTAGTTGGTTGGGTACTGATTGGCAATTAAAGTCTTCTGATGTGTTAAGGCAAGAAAACATTTTACAATCGTGTTTCAATATTTGCAAATTGTGCAGAGATGGACTTTGGATAAGAAAGTGGGAATTACTTTAGTAGATGAAAATTTGGTAATTCAGATCAAGGATCAGAAATGGGCCCATATTAAAAGAATTTATAATGAGTTAATAAAATTGGATTCAGAAATAGAGTTAGTTAAAGATTGTATGATAAATGGGCCCAGAATATTCAAGAACCGATCTCGTTGGACTTATGGGAGGTAATTTGGACTAGAAATGTTAAATTTACGCAGGCCCAGAATTTGAGGGAAAATTTTTACAAAATGTTTTATAGATGTTTTATAAAGTTGTCCTGTATGTACCCAAACCTGCAACCTAAATGTTGGAGATGTGGTTGTTTGGATGCAACCTATTTTCATGTCTGGTGGACTTGTAAAGTTATTAAAGCCTTCTGGATTATGATTTGGTGGAACATTCAAAAGGTTTTTAAAAGGAAGATTAAGTTTACTCCCCAACTGTTTCTTTTGGGAATTTTCGTGGACTTTAATGTTAAAGAAACTATCTTAATGTTGAATTTAATAACAGCAGCAAGATTACTGGTGGGTCAATATTGGAAGAAGGATACTCTGCCTTCTTTAGAAGAATGGCTATTTAAGGTTTCTAATTTAGCAGAAATGGCTAAAATTTCTGCTTATTTAAAGGACCATTCACAAGAGAGATATTTTAATGTATGGAGAAGATGGATAGAATATGTTCAGAAGAAATGTGGAACTACAAAGTTTCACTTATTCTATGAGTAATGTTTTTGTTTATAAACCTATGATGTTAAAGTTTGAAGAGAGTTAAGGGTTTTTTATGATTTTGTTCATTGTATAATTAGTAAACTTAAATAGATTATGTTTAATATGTTTGCATAATCCTGTATTTTGCTCTGAGAAGTCGGGGGAAGGGGGTGGGGGGAGGGGGGTGGGGGATGGATGGGTTGAAGTTTAAGTAGTTCAGATAAAGTAGAAATAGGCTTATTGTATATAATATTAATGTTTTAATTTTGAGAGAGGAACTGCTTGGGCATTTCCCCTGGACCGCATCAAGAGGGAGGAGAAGAAGATGAGAAGTAGGTAGGAAGGTTGAGCTGAAGGAGGAGAGGGGGTGAGTGAAGAAAAAGAGGGAAAGAAGTAAGTTGGTTTGAGGTGGGATGCGGTTTGGGGGGAAATGGGCGGGCAAGACCAAATGTGGTGTGTATCAATTTCTTTTATTTTTTATCTGAAGTATTTGTAAGACGGTCATGTATCATAAAGTTGAAAATAAAAAATTTTACAAAAAAAAAAAAGAAATTGTGGGTGCTCCAACACTGGAGGCTTTTAAGAAGGGACTGGACAACCATTTGTCTAAAATGGTATAGGGCAGGGGTGTAAAACTGCCGGCCCTTGGGACGGATGTGTCATCGGGAAACCACGCCCACCCCATTACTGGCAATGGCGAAAACGCTCCAATATGTTGTGTGATATTGACATGTCTGGTATAGGGTCTCCTGCTTCAGCAGTGGGTTGGACTGTAAGACCTCCAAGGTCGCTTCCAACTCTGTTATTCCATTCTATTCATTTATCATTCCAGTATTTTAGCTCTTCCTTCAGCTTTTCCCATTCCCAATTCCAGACTCCCATTTCTTCTTCTCCTGCAGTCATTCTCAAGCATCCTGGCTTCTCAACAATGGAAATGGAGGGAGCAGGAAAAAACATTACAAAGCATGGATACCATTTTTTAATTGATTTAATCCATTTTAATTTGTTTTTTGGACTGAGACTCACTAAAAGTATATTCGTGAAATGAAGACATTAGGTGACCATAGGTCATTACTTTCACCACCCAGCTAAAAGTAATTTAAATATAAAAATGAATCATAGGCATCAGCAGAGAGTTTTATAGGCACCAGGGGAAATTACTTATAAGTACTCCAGGTGTAACCTAGTTTTTATGAGTATCCATATATTTTATGTTTTAGTTGATATACAGAGAAGTAATGCATCAGTCTCTTAAATCCCTTTCAATTTTTTTTATTTTGTTAATCCTATTTTTTGTGTGCTGCAAGACTTGAGTTGTAGCACAATAATTTTTTATGTGATTAAAACAATGAGTTTTAATCAAAACAGTGTAAAGTCTATGGCAGGGCTTTTCAACCGGTGGTATGCGTACCACTTGTGGTACATTAATGAGTGGCAGGTGGTACGCAGCCCTGCCTAGCCAAGTAGAATGGGAGAGGGAAAGAGCCAGCACAGGCAAGGACTTGCAGTGAGAGAGTCCTCTGGAGCTGCAAAGGCCCCAGGCTCACTTCTGGCTCATCCTCCCCCATGAGAAAGGAGGAGGGGGCGGAGACAGGAGAGCCTATAAAAGGAGGCAGTTTGGGCAGGAGAGGGAGAGAGAGAAAAAGCAGCAGCCTTGGGAGGAGGCAGAGTTAGCTGCACGGGAGGGTGTGGGTGCAGGGAGAGGAGATCAAGCAGGCTGGCCATGAGCCGATCTACAACTGCTGTGGCAGCCACCTGTGCTGGCAGCAGCAAACAGGCAAGAAATGCAGCAGGGAAAGGGTTGCCCTCCAAGAGGAATGAAAAAAGGCAGCAATGGCTGGAGGTGAAGCATGGAGGAGGGAAGGAGATGGAGAGTGGAAGGATTCTTATGTGCTTTTGAGACTTTGAAGTTCTGGGATTTGTGCAATGAGGGCTTTGTGTTCTTAAGGAGTGTTTGGCAATTTCTATTTGGCTGATGTCTCCTGTTAGCTTCTATTGCTCTGCTGTTGTTAGGTGTAGGTTTTGCTGCAAGGGATTTTGAAGTATTTTTCTCCTGAATGGATTTTGCCTGTAGCATTCCTTTACTTATGAATGGAGCCATTTGAGGAGGCTGCCTTTAGCTGGCAGCCAATATTTACATTTTTTTTCTTCCTTAAGTGCCAGCTGTGCTCCTTACTTTCCTTTCTAGCCAGTAGCTAATTCTTAAAGGGGAATGTGCCTTTTTAAGCTAGTTCACTCAGCAGCTTGTCTTTTCTGTCTCTGGAGGCCTTTCCTTGTTTGATCAATATATGAAAGAGGGAAAATATGGGGGGGAGGGTTCAAATTCTTCCTTCAGAAGGAGATGGGAATGAGAAAAAGGGAGGCAGGGAAGGGAGGGAAGAAAGGAAGTCCCGCCTTAGCAGCTCTGCCATTGACTTTGCTTGTCAAAAGGTTGCAGAAGGGGATCACATAACCCTGGAACACTGTGACCATTATAAATATGAATCAGTTGCCAAGCATCCAAATATAAATCACATGACCCTGGGCATGCTGCAATGGTCATAAGTGTGAAAAATGGTCATAAGTCATTTCAGTGCAATTGCAACTTTGAACAGGTTTTTTTTTTTTTTTGGTCATCAAGTTTTTGACACCTTGCTAGGTGGTACTTGAATATTGCCATATCCTAAAAGTGGTACAATCAATAAAAAGGTTGAAAAGCCCTGGTCTATGGAACAGTTAAAATTACATAACAATAAACAGTCCCCCAAATTAAGTCACAGATTCATAAAACCAAGCAGAAGTATTATTCTACTCTGCACTCATAGGGAATACCACTATCACATAGCTGACTATATTTCTTGGTTGCTCTTGTTTCTGTGGCTGTGTATTCTGTTTCATAAATCTGCCAACTTCACATTATTTGTAAGGAACTATTTTAGCATTGATAATGTTACCTAATTGGGTAATGAAACATCTGCAAGAAAACAATCAAACTCAGAGAGCAGCAAGGACCCTAGCCAATATGGTTTGGTCTTGTCCTGTTATTGTCACAGATTGGGACAACATTGTTAGACTTGTAACTATAACTTTGTATCATTTGCTGCATGCTAACGATATATATGTCCTTTGTCTATGAAATATGTAAATTGCCACAATCTCAGTGACTCTAGTACATATTATTTTGGTATTTGGAACCTATCAAGACATGAAGAATTACAGATTTGGGGCTAAGGACTAGCTAAAAATGATCAGATAACAGTAGAAGAAATTTGCAGCTATGGACTGTTGAATATATTGTCTGCCAATATTTAAATTACATTATATGGAGTTTGGTTTTATTATTTTTTTAATGAAGGAACAAGAAATCTTTTGAACAATATGGTTAAAACTTTTGGGGTTGTTTATAACAGAATTTGCTAGGAATCTTTTTCTTTTAATGTTATTACTTTTTTTAATGATGGTTGTATTTGAAATTAAAGTATACTATTCCATTCTGTTCTATATTGTTTTATATTGAGTTAGCTATTCCATCTACTGTCAAGGGCTGGCTAGGGAATTCCACATAACTTCAAGTTGAAAAGGTTCTAAAACACTGGTCTGCATTGACTGCCTCTTGGCAATTCATCCTCGGGTGGTTGAGAGTAGCACTGGATCCAAACGGAGATACATTAACCCCCGTTTGCAGCTAGTTCACTTTTTTATTATTCTTGAGCAGCCTATTTTTAAACCGGCTAACAGAAATCAGCGCTTTTTTTTTTTTTTTTTTTGCATTTTATTTTGGGCAAAATACTTCTGAATCTGCGGAGTTAATCCTACAATTTTAACAACTCCTCCTTCGCTGTTTTAATCCTATCCTAAGGGGGAAATCAGCAGGACGCTAAGTAGCCCTTTAAAAAAAAATTGCAACTTGTCTACCTCCAGCATTTAAAACGCACATAAGCTCACGTGCCTTGGGTCTACCAAGGCGAGGCATTATGGTCAACGTAGTTTGCGGTAACAGAAATCTTGCTCCTTCGTGGCGGAACTGCAATGCTATACTTCCTGCTGGCCGAAATTGTAAGATCTGCGAGGCTAGTAAGTGGGAGGCTTGTGTTTGACTATCGTTGATATAAAATCACTACGCCCAATGAATGGTCACATCTGACCTTCTCGGCTCTATATTTAACTTTTGATTCAGCCCTGATTGTACGTTTCGGTGTTTTGCTGTCTTTAAAAGTAGAATCACATTGTTCAGCATTTCTCGGATTAAAGGTTAGAAGGTGGTTGGGAAGTTTAAAATCCTTTACTTCCAAATTTAAAGATCCCCGTCTGCATTTTTCCCTCCCTTTCCTGATGTTGGTTTATATCCATAGCCTATTCTAGAATCCCTTAAAAGCATTAGTGTCGTAAACAAAAACAAAGCTGACAAAGGTTAACAAACTTGGTTTCTTTTTAAAGGTATTGTTTACTTTGAAACCCTAAAGACGTACACGGAGATACTGCATTACATTTATTGCCATTTTATTCTTAATAAGAATGGAGGAGGGTTGCTTCGGTAGTCTCATAGTTTGGTATAATCAGTAGAGGTGAGTATTTTTGTTGTTTTATAGAAAGCAATGCCACTTGCGGTTAGAAAACTAGGAAGAGGCAGCTGCAGTTGCTCACAGACACTACTACTGATAGTAAGTTCAGGTAGAGCAATGTTTCTCAACCTTGACAATTTTAAGGCATGTGGACTTCAACTCCCAGAATTCCACAGCCAGCATTGAGGTAGAGAGAGGACATTCGGAAGGCTTCTATTTATTTAGGGTTTTTCTTTTACTATATTTCAATCATTAAAGGGTTTTTAGGGGAGCTGGTAATAATAAAAACACCTAAAATCTAAACAACAGTGAAAGATAAAATAATAAATAATAACATTTGAGCTTCTGTATCTAAGTAACTGCTAGCTGCTGCTTCTAGTGTCAAGTAGTATGTAATACGATATTTCTCGGGTCCTCCCCCCCCCCCCCCGCTTATGAATGAATGAATGAGGTGGCTTGTTCCTTCCATAATCTGGTTAGGAAACTGGTAATTTACAGCTATTTTTATAACTCTTGTTTTTTTTCAGTTGCAGCGTGCAAGATGGTTATAACTTTGGCATGTCAAGTGGGATATAGAAGAACTTCAGCTCTGTGTAATAGGATTTATTCAACCTATGTCAGGAGAATGAGGTATGTATGTTCTTAGTCCATGAGAAGATAGGCTGGTTCTATTAAGTTTTCTCAAAATATATTAGCTAATAAGATAAATTAAGAATTATAGGACATTATAGTGAAGTTTTACAAAGTTTGTGACTATAGCAGTAGATTTGTATTGTGGTCAAATACTTTGGACTGTAGTCCTGCATTTATTTACAGAAGATAAAGCCATATTGAATATAATCATTCCCTTCCATATGCAGGAACTCTGCCAATTTTTAATCCATGCTGCCCTCTTGTGTGTCCACAATGTTATGCAGCTCTTTGCAAGCTGAAGTTTAATTATTTAATGGAATTTATAGAGCTGCCAAATGTAACTCTGGGTGATGTATAGCTGAAATAAGCAATAATCCTTGCCCCTTATATAGCATTAAAAAGGAACAATATATAAAATATAAAATGATGAGCAGATGTGGTAATTAGTCATCCAAAAGGACACTCCACTTAACTTGGACCCAAATGCTGGGGGGAAAGCCACATCTTAATGGAATTTTTAAAGTTTTAAGATTTGGGTCATATATAGGGGTGGAGACTATTCCTAAGGGACAACCTGGAAAAGCACATTCCCAGGTTCCATATAATCACAATATTTAAAGGAGGATCTGGAGCATGCCTTCCCTCTAGGAATGAGCAAATATTCTTGGGAGCAGGCAGTCTCTCAGGTAACCTGGACCTATGGCATTTAGGGCTTTAAAATGGATCCAACACCTTGCATTGCACCCAGAACCTCTAGAGCAGAGGTCCCCAACATCAGGGACCGGTTCCATGGAGAAAGGTTTTTCTACGGACCGGAGAGTGTGTGGTTTTGTGTGCTGCCTGCATCCCATGGATGGGGCTTTGCTTGTTTCTGAGGACCAGTTGCTGGCATGCTGCGGCCTGTACCGATCCATGGACTGGGGATTGGAGACCCCTGCTCTAGAGAACCAGTGTAGCTTGCAGATGGTGGAATTACAACGGCATAATAACCCACCCTGTTGCATTCTGGATGAACTGGAGCTTCTGAATAGTCTTCAAGGAGAGTCCCATGTACCTCAGCTGTTGCTCCAGAAAAACACTACAAAAGATAGTTTGCAGTATTTCTTCTTGAGCTTCCGTCCTGCCTCATCTTCTCACAAAGTGTCCAGGATTCTTGTCTCTGTCTTCAAGCCAAGAGACCGATGAGCTTTGGCATGATTTTCTTCACACTCCCATCTGGCAAACTAGGAAAACGTGCTGCTCAGATTCCAAGAAAATACAAAGAACAGCAAGGAAAGCTTGCTCTGAGAACTTGGCAGCCCTAGCCAGCAACTGTAAGAACAAGGATACAGTTCTGAACATACCCAACAGATTGTTTTATGTAGCTCCACTGAGTGAATGCAGGGAAGATTATTGTTTTGTCTATTGATGAGGTGCTCCTAATCCTTTCCTAATTACAGATACATGTTCAAGCTGAAAGAAGATGATGATGCTTGTCGGCAGGCCTATAATTCTGGAACTTTCTTCCTATTTTACAACTTCTCTCCCTTCGTGCAGCAAAAAGGAAAAGCGTTACTAGTCCCAAAGCTAAAGGCAGCAGGTATTTAGCTTCTGCATTATTGAGACATAATTCTACTAGATCAATGCTGATATTCCTAAGCTTGATCTATAGGAATCATAGATTTGGAAAGGGTCATTGAGGCGATCAAGGCCAATCCTCTAATCAGAACAGTTAAAAAGAGCATTGGGGGGGCTCAACCTATTCTCCAAAGCACCCGAAGTCAGGACAAGAAGCAATAGATGGAAACTAATCAAGGAAAAATCCATCCTAGAACTAAGGAGGAATTTCCTGAGAGAACAATTAATCAGTGGAACAATTTGCCTCCAGAAGTTGTAGGTGCTTCAACACTGGAGGTTTTCAAGAAAGAGATTGGACAACTATTTGTCTGAAATGGTATAGGGTTTCCTGCCTGAGCAGAGGGTTGGATTAGAAGATCTCCAAGGTCCCTTCCAGCTCTATTATTCTGTTAAAGTATTGTGAGAGGTGGTTTTGTACCTTCTATTTGACCACATCTAATGACGTGGAGACCATCACCACTCTATTTCATTTGGTTCCACCATAAAGTCTCTCTTACTGCTAAGAAGTTTCTTTTCTATCAAGCAATCAATTTATTTAGGAGGGAAAAAAAGCCTTGAAGTAGGAAACAAGAGCATCCATGACTTAATGTTACAAGATGTCAAAGATGTCCTTGCTTTCTACTTACAGCAACAGAAGGTACAAAGCCACCTCTCACAATACTTTAACAGAATAATGATAGCAGTTTACGAGATAAAGGGAAGGGAGTTGAAGATCTTGAATAGAAAATTAAGTCTCGGTGCTCTTGTAAAGCTGCAATTGTTAGACTCCTTTGGGAAACACTTTATTATCATGTTGCTTTCTATTCAGATTTATAATAGAGCATCTGTGCATTTGTTTTAGACTTGCTATACTAGATGGTAAATATGTTAATGAATCATTACAGTGGGTGGTGGTTGTATCTTTTAAGGCAGTGGTTCTCAACCTGTGGATCGGGACCCCATTTGGGGTCGAACGACCATTTCACGGGGGTCGCCAAACAACGCAGTCTGCCATTTTTTTCCCCTTTTCCTTAGCTGTGCTACTCCCTTTTATTCTATTGGCTTTTGAAAGCTAATAGAATAGACTCTCTTGAATAGAGTCTAATTCTATTGGCTTTCAAAAGCCAATAGGAATTGTCCAGGCTGTCTCTGCCCTGCTGAGCCCACCAAAAGTCCCATTCTGCAAACGGTGCTGCCCCAGTTGAGTAGTCTTCGACTTACGACCGGTTGAGTAGTCCTCGACTTACGACCGGTTGGGGGTCGCGGCATTAAAAAGGTTGAGAACCACTGTTTTAAGGCATCTCCTTATTCTAATATTTTTCAGAAATAAAAAGACTTTTGCAAAAGTTTCAGAAGAGTGAGAAGACGATGGAGGAGTCCATGCTGGTGGGCTGTTCGGAAGAATGTACCCCATATTTTGCTCTTGACCTAGGTTAGAATTTGTATGCATAAATGCTAATAACCTGACCCTCATTGCTACACTATAAATCATGTGAAACAATCTCATATCCTAAGGATGTGCAAATTTGTCAATGTGGGAACAGTTAATTCCAAAGGGTTCTGGTATGATCCACCCTTATTGTGCCATTCCCAGCTTCTAGTGGCAAATCCTGTGCATAGGAACTAGTTTGAGGTATTCTGGACCTTGTATATTTGGTTCTTGAAAGAAAACTATTTTACAAATGAAGGCAAATATATGTGTCCCAGAATAATGTTGCAGGATCCAATCAAGCTTGGTCAGTGGGACCAGAGATTTAGTTCTCCGAGCTTTTGGACTTGTGCTGGGACTATTCCTCAGGAAACTTCTTTCTGCTGGAATGTGTTCTTTGGGCTATTGTCATATTTATGTGCCTGGTTGGGTGTGGCTTTCTATTGGTTGATTGGCATGTTGATGGCCATCTGTTAAAGTACCACAAAAAATCCGATGCAATGCACACATTCCAACAGAGAGAAGTTCCCTGAGGATGGGCTCCTGCGTGAGTCTGAAAGCTTGTAAGACTAAACCTCTGGTCCTGCTGATCTACCCAGATTGGATCTTGAAAACTGTTTTGTATTTTTGGAGTATTTTGGGAGAGTGATAAAAAAAAAAACCCCTCATTATACTTTTGTAATCCTCTACCATGCCTTTGCTTAGTTATTTTTTAAAAAAATTGAAATTCAGCAATCCTCAGCAATCTTCTCTCATTTGTAAAATGAAAAGATCATAAGTGTACAGAATAGTTCAAGGTGAATGCAATATATCATCTTTAACCTTATATTCATTAAATTGCATGGGCAATGCTGATGCTCATTCATTTGCTTAGGAGAGAGATTTTTCAGGTGTCCTGAATAATTTGGTGGTATTTGCAAACTTGATTTCCAGTCTAATTATTTGTGTGTTCTCGCCAAATACAACCGGACCTAAATTTTATGAAAAATTATTAGGTATTTCTGAATTCCTTAAGTGCTGGAAGACTTTATGGGATACAATACTTGCCCAGGACTCTTTACAAAAAATGGAATGGAATTTTGTATATGTTGAGTTTATATGTAAATATTCAGAAGATCAGGTTTTTTGGTTTACTATTTCACATATGTTATTTCTACAGCAACACTATTTGTTTTTCCAAATTTCCTAGAAATTAAAATCCTGATCCTGTCCATAGTCTTCCTCTAAAAGTGATAGTGTATTATGTTTTTAAAGGTGATAATCATGAGTTATATCAGGATATACAGCAGAAAATAGGGAAAGAAAGGGTATTTTCTTTCCAAAGAGTATCTGCCTATTTAATGTGAGCCATTAATCTCCATTTCTGTAATAAAGAAGATAACTGCCAGAGCTATTAATGTTGCTCATACTACAGCCTATGCTTTATATAGAATCACTGACCTGAATAATGTTATGGAATGATTATTTAATCTTACAGTATAATTATTGGTTAATTGTATCAGCAATAGTATTAACTCTACAATAACTCTGGTTTAATCCATGGAAAAGGCATGGGGGAGGGGGTAATAATAAAGATGTTTGATTCCCACAGATTTATTGAATTCCAGGATCCTTGCCAAAATCTGCTGTTGAGTCTGAACTTGATGGATCCTTTGGAAAATTACAGAAAGCTTTCTTCCAATTAGAAGACGAAGATGCATCTTTGATTTCCACGGTATGATTTTATGCATAAAATACTGTAAACACAAATGACATATGCAAACATATATAATGATGATAAAGAATTGTAAGCATTTCCAGAGGAAAATAGGAAATTGAGCTTCCTGGTGTGGGCAATTTTTGACTGCTTGAATTTATGCTTTCTCTCTCTTTTTATTTTTCTGCCTTCTCAATTCTGTAAACTGCCCTTCTTTCTGTAGACCTTTTGGCTTCTGATCAGAATAGCTCAATTTTGCCAATATTATCCAGAATTTTTGATTGGAGCAAATCAATTTTCATTGATTGAAGAATCTGGAATCTGTCATATTTTACCCCAGTGAAATTTATGACAAATCAGAGATATTTACTGCATTGTTCCATTGATTTATTAGAAGGAGCGAACATAAGGAAGAAGATCAGAAGTGATTGTTTGTTTAATAACTTTATTCCTTGCATTTGGCTATTATTTGTTTAATTATAGTGTGTTAAATAGGACATAGGGGCTAGCATCATACACCACACTAAGTGATAAACCATAAATTGCAAATTGAAGAGGCTGACTTTAAAGCCAAAGCCAAGCAAATCTCATTACGGCTTAAGTATAGTGCTGGAACTCAGTTACCCAGCTTTTTATTATATAACAACACCTTTCATTTTGATGTGGTCAGGTATTCAAGATAGGATATCACTTCTCCAACTTCAGTGTGCCTGGCCCAGATATGGTGACAGCTGTTACTGGCCACATTTTTTTTTTTTTTTTGAGTGGAAGTAACATTACTGTGCTGTAGTCACAGTTCAATCCCAGGAAAGGCCTGGCAATAAATTATGAGGATGAAGGTTCATTCTCCATGCTTGTGGGTTGGTTTCAGAATGTTTTGTTACCAGGCTAGATAACATATTCAGTGGAGTTTAGGGGATATCAGTGTTCTTCTGTTCATAAGGGCTTCCTGTGGTCAGTAAATCTTGTGATAGGTCAAATGTGAGTCATCAGTGAAAGTCTTGTGATGAGTAGGTTATATCAGGTGAGAGTCATTGGGAGGTGAAGTGCTGATTGAGGGGGCCTTGCGTGGGTTGGTTGAGGGTCTGTGCTGTCTCTGGTTAGCGGGTTGTAGGACACATTGTCAACTGACACATTGACCTGCAACCAGCCTACGAATCCCTCAGAATCCAAATCAATCACACAGCCAACCACAAGACTCTCACTGATGACTGACATCTGACCCATCACAAGACCCACATTTGACACACCCACACCTGACCCATCACAAGACCTACTGACCACACAAAGCCCTTATAAACAGAAGAATATGGATTAACATCCCCTAAACTCTGCTGAAGATGTTACACAGCCTAGTAACAAAATGTTCAGAAACCAACCCACAAGCTTAGAGAATGATCCTTCACCCTCATCCTACACCCAAGCTACAGATACTTGCTACTATTGCAAACCATAATTATGCTTCGAATATTATCTGAGTGGATATGGCATCCAGTAATGGGATATTCACAATTCTATAGCGCTAATAAGTGTGGAGAGACTGAAAAGAATCTCTTATGGAATAATTTATTTTTATTACAAGTCTTTCTAGCAAGCCTCTTTTTGCAAGGAATCTCATTTAAGGAAACTTTAGTCATCACACACTACTATGAATGAGCTAGACTAGTCTCCAGAATTCTGAAATCTGCCCAGTTCTACATTTCTTAGCATTCATACCCAGAACTCCTCTCTTTAGCCCAGCCCTGGAAAAAACAAAAAGTCTTTTCTGTCACTCAAAAATTAACATATCTTGTGCTGGGTCTATACAGAAGTTACCGTGTTTTCCTGAAAATAAGATCTGGTCTTTTTTTTTTTTTGCCTCCAAAAGAGGCACCAGGTCTTATTTTCGGGAGATGCCTTACTCGCCGACAGCCCTGCCCAGCAGATCCACTTCTGGGACTGAAGTTCTGCAGCTGCATTCTGGCCTGCATTTTGCAGTCAGGCCTTTCCGGAAGGCTTCTGCAGCCAAGTACCGAGCTATGGATTCAATCTATAGCTCGGTCCTCAGCTGCAGAGGTCTTGCAGAACCGAGCTATGGATTGAATCAATAGCTCAGGTTTGGGCTGTAGCGGCCTTCCAGAAAGGCCTGTGATTGAGAAATGTAGGCCTGGCTGCAGAAGACACCATCGAAGAAGTGGGCTGGGGGGGGGGCTGGCTGCAAGGTAAGTGGGTGCGGGTCACATGGGGCAGATTCATACCCTCAACCCGCCCTAGCTTGATTTTTAAGTGTGTGCCTCACCCCAAAACTAGGGCTTATTTTGGGGGTAGGGCTTAGGCCCACCCCCAAAAATCAAGTTAGGCTTATTTTCGGGTTAGGCCTTACTTTCGTAGAAATACGGTAGCTGTGTAGTCATATAGTCTTGCATTGAGAAGAAGGTTTTAATGAGAAATTCCCTCATTAAGTCAAGCCAGATTTCTAAAGACAAAGGTAAATTTATTGGGAAAGGGGAGATCTTAAAGGGGAAGCAAGAATTGAAATAAATTCCAAATAAAATCAATGTAAACAATCTAGCTAGAGTAATTACTTACAGGTAGTCCTCAATTTACAATTATTTGTTTAGTGAGTATTCGAAATTACAAGAGCACTGAAAAAAATTGCCAACAGTTTTTGACACAACTATTGCAGTATTTTTCATGGCCATGTGTTCACAATTTGGATGTTTGGCAACTGGCATGTATTTATGGCGGTTGCAATGTCCCAGTGATTACGTTTTGCAACCTTCAGACAAGCAAAGTTAATGGGGAAGCCAGATTCACTTAGCAATTGTGTTACTAGCTTAACAGCTACAGTGATTCATTTAAGAATTGTGGCAAAAAAGGGTGTAAGATGGGACAAAACTCAACCGCTGTCTTGCTTAGTACAGAAATTTTGGGCTCATTTGTGGTTGTAAAGTCAAGGACCCCCTGTACTATATTTTTGCCAATCAGAGCCTTTCCTATCCTGACTCACTAAATTGATTTTTGTAGTCTCAGGCACTCCTTCAATGGCATAATAATAACCAATATTGTGGCAAAACTGGAGAGCCCACAGTGAAGAATTTGGCTGGGAGCAAACGAATTTGTCATAACAATGGAATCGTCTATTATCCACAGGTAAGTCTCTGAATGGAAAAGAACATGTTCTAAAGCCATAAAGGCAGCCAGCAAGATTTGTCCACGCTGCAAAAGCTTTTTGTAAAGATATTTTTTTAAAAATACTAATTATGACTTACCCTTGGGATGATTCTTGCAGAATAGGAAAGAAAAACATTATTTGTTTACTTTAAATTAAGGCTGGCTATATTCCCCAATCTGTCTAAAGCAAGTTTGAAGCTAATGAGTCTCTTCTGTTGACCTCTAAACACTGGGAACATACAGAAAATTCCCTCTGTCAGTCAGTACTCCTACCAGTGAGCAAATAACCGCATGAAGTTCTCGGGTGCCAGTAGAATAAAAATCTTGTCACCCACTCCATCCAAAATGAAAAGAAAATACATTGTTAACTATCCTTTCCCCCCCCCCCTACACACACACACACCATTTACAGCTTAGTTCATATTCTTTTTTTTTTATTGAAATGTTTTATACAAGTTTTTAACAATATCCCCCCCCCCTAAAACAACTCCCTCCCTTCCTCCCCCCCTCATTTCCCAGACCTGGTTACAGGGTTACAAATAAACAAACAAATTCTAAATAAACTTATCCAACTATACAAATAACAAAGTCAATAATGTGCTTTAACTCAGATACAAAACAAATTAATTTAAAAAAAACAAAAATAACAATATAAACAATTCCAATTTGAAAACTAAAAATTAATCATAATCTAAATAATACTTTTTAATCCCATATCAACTCTAATCATAATTTATCCATTAAATCCCATATTTACTCTGCATATAATTTATCCATCTTCTCCACGCCGAGGTGTATATTTCTTTTAAATAACCATTCATCCACAATAAACACAAAATTTTCCCTCCAATATAACCCAACCAATAAACTTACATTCAATAAACTTGGCTCTTTGCTTTTTTCCCACCCCCACATAAAGTTATTAATACCCTCCTACTTAACAAACAAACCATATCTTGATCACTAAAATTCTCACCAACAGAGATCATCATTATAATTTAAATTCTTTTACACTTTTACCCATAATATCTCATAATTATTTTTATACACTTTAGATTAAAAATTATAATATGAATTCCCAAATATTTAAACTTTTCCACTAAATCAGCACCTTCTACTATTCTTTTTCTTTATATCTACATACTACACAAGTCATTCACTATTCCTTTAAAAACATACTAAATCAAAACCTATCAACTATACTAACATTTATTGTTCTTTTTCTTTACATCTACATATAACTCAAATCATTCACTATTCCTTTAAAACATCTTCTATCTCAAAAAAACTACTACAAAAGTTCATCATTTCCTTTTCCTTATTCCAACATCCGCCTTCTGCTGTTCTTTTTCTTTACATCTATAGGCTGCACGAGTCATTCTTAGTTCCTTTGAAAAATCTTCTGTCACAAGAGATTGCTGCAGAAATTCAGCCTGTTTGTCTCCTACACCCAATAACATAGCACCTTCAACCGGCTGTACTTCCAACTTTTCTTCTATTATCTCAGCTCGTGAAGATGATAGAGAGCCCACCTTCAAAACAGAAGTGTAAAAATCTTTCGCCTCTAAAATTGTATTAAGTCTATAACGTATCCCCGCATAATTCACCACTATTCCAACCGGTATCTCCCATCTAAACCGGACCTGTCCTTTTTTAAGCTCGTCAGCCAAAAAAGCAAAATCCTTTCTTTTTCTAAGAATTTTTGAAGGTATTTCCTTTAAAATTATTACATCTTGAGCTGCAATTTGAAATCTCTGCTTATAAAAAAACCTGTAAAATTTCATTACGAAGTGATCTAGAAAAATAAATAACCACATGTCGTGGCAAATTCCTCTGCCTTGCAACCCTTGAATTAACCCTAAAAACGTTTTCCGTCTCTCTCAGTATTTCTTCAGGCTCAGCCCCCAAAATGAAGGCTATATCTTTTACCACCACTTGTCTCAAATCCTCTTGCGTGTTTTCCTTCAATCCCCTTATTCTTAAAGCAAATTCCATGTCTCTATATTGTAACATAGTAATTTCATCCTGTATTATTTCCACGTTATTTTCCACTTTGTCAATTCGATCTTCCAGTTTTTCAAAATTTTCCACAACATCAATACGATCATCCAAACGCTCTATATGACCTACAAACTTTTGAAACGCAAACACTATGTCCTCTCTCATTTCCCTGTTTCTTTTTTCAAAAAATTCCTCCATCTCTTCTTTAATCTGTCATGCCATATTTCCCAAGGCATCCTGTAGATCTTTAAGTGTACATGCTGATGACGATGGAGAAGGTGGTGGTTACTTAAACTTAACTTGCTGAGCTGTCTGCATTACCGAAGAGGAGATCGAGGCTTTAGAAACAACAGAAGATCCGAGACACTTTGAAGCCATTTTATTTTTAAGACCACTTGTTAGAAAGTCTGCTAAATCTTATAAAATCAACAATTATCAAGAGAAGAAAAAAAAAGAGGGGAGGAAAAAAGACAAAAGCCCCCTAAAGAAAAAGAAAAAAAGAAGAAGATTCTTGCATTTTATGTAAATACAAAGTCTGTTACATTGTTCCAAATAGAAGTTCCGGTCCTTTCACTCAAAGAATCAACATCTCAGCACCATTTTTCACCACTCTTAATTTGAAAAAAGGAGAAGATAAATTCTTTTCCAGAGTTAAAGTCTCAAAATAATCACCATTTTAATCTCTCCTGGTCAGCTCTGTCTGCTTTAAATTTTACTCACGAATTCATTTTAAGCACAGATGTGAAAGCAGCATCTAGCTTTGCCCTGAAAAACAAATCAGGGCAAAGGCATCCTGGAATGTGGAGGATACCTCAGACTCCATGGGAGCTCTCACCCTCCGACCACCAAAAAAAAAAAACTTTGGGGTCTCGGGGAGCTCTACCACTATCTGAGGAAAGCTCACCTCCTCCCCTTCTCCCGGGGAGCAAGGTTCCGAGCCGCGAGACAGCTGTTGTTCGCTGTCTCAGCAGGCTTTGACGCATCCCAGGGCGGACGGCTAAGAAAAGCCGCCATCGGCGCAGCCGTCGCCACCGGAAGTCGCTTAGTTCATATTCTGTGCCTTGGCTTGTTTATAAGGAGAAAAATAAACAAAAAATCCATGCACACAAGTAGTTGATAAGAGAGGGAGCAGCCAGGTTGCCAAACTATCTTTCTGCCAGTGTGTTTAATTATCCCTGTCAACTGTTATGATGGAAGAACAGCATGTTGTATTTCTGCAACCTTGTGTCTTTCCCAATAGCTGAAAACCAGTTTATTCCATATTGTGGTTTTAAAAGGAAGTGAATATATGTTTTAGATGACTTGTGTTGTTAATTGCGAAGTCGTGTCCGACCCATCGTGACCCCATGGACAATGTTCCTCCAGGTCTTCCTGTCCTCTACCATCTTCTGGAGTCCATTTAAGTTCACACCTACTGTTTCAGTGACTCCATCCAGCCATCTCATTCTCTGTCGTCCCCTTCTTCTATTGCCCTCAATCTTTCCCAGCATTAGGCCCTTCTCCAGTGAGTCCTTCCTTCTCATTAGGTGGCCAAAGTACTTGAGTTTCAACTTCAGGATGTGGCCTTCTAAAGAGCAGTCGGGGTTGATCTCTTCTAGGACTGACCGGTTTGAACGCCTTGCAGTCCAAGGGACTCGCAGGAGTCTTCTCCAGCACCATAGTTCAAAGGCCTCAATTCTTTTGCGCTCAGCCTTTCTTATGGTCCAACTTTCACAGCCATACATGGCAACTGGGAAAACCATGGCCTGGACTATACGCACTTTTGTTGGCAGGGTGATGTCTCTGCTTTTTAGTATGCTGTCTAGATTTGCCATAGCTTTCCTCCCCAGGAGCAAGCGTCTTTTAATTTCTTGGCTGCAGTCCCCATCTGAGGTGATCTTGGAGACCAGAAAAATAAAATCTGTCACTACCTCCATTTCTTCCCCATCTATTTGCCAGGAATTGAGAGGGCCGGATGCCATGATTTTGGTTTTCTTAATGTTGAGTTTCAAGCCAACTTTTGCACTCTCCTTCTTCACCCGCATCAAGAGGCTCTTTAGTTCCTCTTCACTTTCTGCCATTAGAGTGGTATCATCTGCATATCTTAGGTTGTTGATATTTCTCCCGGAAATCTTAATTCCAACTTTTGTTTCATCTAGCCCTGCCTTTCTCATGATGTGCTCTGCATATAAGTTAAATAGGCAGGGCAACAGTATACAGCCTTGCCGGACTCCTTTTCCAATTTTGAACCAATCAGTGGTTCCGTGTCCAGTTCTCACTGTTGTTTCTTGACCTGCATATAGGTTTCTCAAGAGACAAATGAGATGGTCTGGTACTCCCATCTCTTTAAGAACTTGCCACAGTTTGTTGTGATCCACACAATCAAAGGCTTTTGCAGAGTCAATGAAGCAGAAGTAGATGTTTTTCTGGAACTCCCTAGCTTTCTCCATGATCCAGCGTATGTTGGCAATTTGATCTCTAGTTCCTCTGCCTCTTCGAAATCCTGCCTGTACTTCTGGTAGTTCTCGATCCACATACTGCTGGAGTCTAGCTTGTAGGATTTAAGCATAACTTTACTAGCAGTTACAATGAGTGCAATGGTGCGATAGTTTGAACATTCTTTAGCATTGCCTTTCTTTGGAATTGGAATGTAAACTGACCTTTTCCAATCCTGTGGCCACTGTTGAGTTTTCCAAATTTGCTGGCAAATTGAGTGTAGCACTTTACTGCATCGTCTTTTAAGATTTTGAATAGCTCAGCTGGAATACTGTCACCTCCACTAGCTTTGTTGTTGCTCAGATTTTCTAAGGCCCATTTCACTTCACATTCTAGGATGTCTGGTTCGAGGTCAGTGACCCTCTCATTGTGGTATATGGTGTTAAGTCATTCTTGTATAGTCTTTGTGTAGTTTTGCCATCTCTTCTTATATCGCTTCTGCCTCTGTTAGGTCCCTGCCATTTTGGTCCTTTATCATGCCCATCTTTGCATGAAACGTTCCC